CTCTCTGCCGGATGCTATCCAGCTTGTCTACATGCTTTCTGTACATCTACATCCTTTCTGTAGTGGGGGTCCAAAACTGGACACAGTATTTCAGATGTGGCCTCACCAGTAGAGAATAGAGAGGAATAATTACTGCTCTTGATCTGCTGGCAACACTTCTACTAATGCAGTCCAATATGCTGTTAGCTTGCTTGGCAACAAGGGCACACTGCAGAGTCATATCCAGCTTATTGTCCACTGTAACCCCCAGGTCCTTTTCTGCAGAGCTGCTGCTTAACCAGTCAGTCCCCAGCATGTACCGGTGCATTGGATTCTTCCATCCTAAGTGCTGGACTTTGCACGTGTCTTTGTTGAACCTCATGAGATTTCTGTTGGCCTAATCCTCAAATTTGTCTAGGTCACTGAATCCTAGCCCTACCCCCCAGTGTATCTATTACACCTCCCAGCTTGGTGTCATCCACAAACTTGTTGAGGGTGTAATCCATCCCATCTTCCAGATCGTTAATGAAGATATTGAATAAAACTAGCCCCAGGACCAACCCCTGGGGCACTCCACTTGATACCAGCTAGACACCAAGCCATTGATTACAACCTGTTGTGCCCAACAATCCAGCCAGGTTTCTATCCACCTTATGGTCCATTGATCAAACCAATACATCCTTAGTTTGCTTGCAAGAATGCTGTGGGAGATGGTATCAAAAGCCTTGCAACAGTTAAGGTATATTATGTCCACTGCTTTCCCCACATCCATAGAGCCATTTATCTCATCATAGAACACAGTCAGGCTGGTCAGACATGACTTACCCTTGGTGAATCCATGCTGACTTTTCCTAATCACCTTCTTCTCCTCCAAGTGCTTAGAAATGGACTCTTTGAGGACATGCTCCATGATTTTTCTGGGGACAGAGGTGAGACTGACTGATGTGTAGTTCCATGGATCCTCTTTCTTCCCTTTCTTAAAGATGGGCACTATATTTGCCCTTTTGCAATCGTCTGGGACCTGCCCAGTCACCATGAGCTTTTGAAGATAATGGCCAGCGGCTTTGCAGTCACATCAACCAACCCCCTCAGCCCACTTGGATCCATTGCATTTGGCCCCATGGACTTGTACAGGTCCAGATTTTCTAAATAGTCCCTTACCTGTTCTTTTACCACTTTTAGCTGGTCACCTTCTCCCCAAACTGTGCTGCCTGGTGCAGTAGACTGGGAGCTGATCTTACCTGTGAAGACCGAGGTAAAAAAGGCATAGAGTACTTCAGACTTCTCCTCATCATCTGTCACTAGGTTGCCTCCCTCATTTAGTAAGGGACCCACACTTTCCCTGACCTTCCTCTTGTTGCTAACACGTAGGAACCCTTCTTGTTACCCTTCACATCCCTTGCTAGGTGCAACTTCAATTGCAATTTGGCCTTCCTGACTTCATCCATGCATGAATGAACAATATTCTTATACTACTTCCAAGTTGTTTGTCCATGCTTCCACTTCTTGTAAGCTTCCTTCTTATTTTTAAGGTCATTTAAAAAGTTCTCTGCTAAGTCAAGCTGATTGCTTGCCTCATTTGCTATTCTTCCTACACATCAGGATGGTTTGTTCCTGCACTCTTACTCTGGTTTCTTTAAAATACAACTGGCTGTCCCTCAGACTAGCCTCCCAAGGGATCCTGTCCATTACTTCCCTGAGTGAGTCAAATTTTACTTTTCTGAAGTCCAGGGTCCATACTTTGCTGCTCTCCTTTCTTTTTTTTGTTAGGATTCTGAACTCAATCATCTCACTGTCACTGCTGTCCAATTTGCCATCCACTTCTACATTCCCTATCAATTCTTCCTTGTTTGTAAGCAGCAGGTCAAGAAGGGCATGGCCCCTAGTTGGTCTATCCAACACTTGCATCAAGAAGTAGTCTCCAATGCTGTCCAAAAACTTCCTGGATTGCCTGTGCATGGCTGTATTGCCCTCCCAACAGATGTCAGGATGATTGATGCCCCCATGAGAACCAGGGCCTGTGATCTGGAAACTTCTGCTAGTTGTCTGAATAAAGCATCATGTACCTCATCCTCCTGGTCTGGTAGTCTATAGCACACACCTACCACAACATCATCCTTGTTGCTCTCCCCTCTAACCTTAACCCAGAGACTTTCAGTAGGCCTATCTCCAGTTTCATACTGAAGCTCTGTGCAATCATATGGCTCTTTTATATACGGTGCAACTCCCCTCCTCTTCTCCCCGGCCTGTCCTTCCTGAACAATTTGTACCCATCCATGACAGTGGTCCAGTTATGCAAACTATCACACCAAGTCTCTGTTATTCCAATCTTGTCATAGTTTCTTGAGTGTGTAAGGACTTCCAATTCTTTTTGCTTGTTTCCCAGGCTCCATGCAATCATGTACAGACACCCGAGGTGACTAGCCAATTGCCTTACTTTCTCAGGAAGAATGAGGCCTTCCCTGCTGCTTGTGCTTCTGCTCCCACTCCCTCCAAGTCCCCAGCTTTCCCACTTACCTAAGGGCTTTGTTTTTCATCCTCCAGGGGAACCTAGTTTAAAGCCCTCCTCACCAGGTTAGTGAGCCTGTCCCTTATTCTTCCACAGAGTTCTTGCATGATGGTAGTCACATCACTAATTGTGTGTTCATCCTTTCCTATATGCCTGGCCTGCCCTGAATCTTTGAGGTCTGGGTGGCATAAGTGGTGAGCATCTACAGTTGCAACTGAACTGGAGTGGGAGCTGTCTTTGAACATACAATAACACTATGCTCTGAAAACTGAAGTCCAAGGCATCTCATTATGTACTCCAAATTAGACATTTTTTTCTATGCCTCAGTTCTTTATCTGTAAAATAGGGAGCATAATCAGACCGTCCCTTAATGTGGCATTGTGAAAAAGTTGTTATTGTCTGGGAGGCTCCATCTCCATAAGGAAATTAATTATCTTGTATTTACAGCTGAATTTGAAAAGTGGGATGTAAACAAGGAATGGAGCCCATCCCTTGCAGAATGAGGATAAAAATCAAATATTGACTTGCAGCTTCTTAAGTAAGCATAATCTGTGTTATACACTGAGGGAGGTAGGGCTCATAGAAAAAACAGAATGTGACCATTTAATTAAATACTGTGATAATACATCCTTATGAGGGGATGAATTGAGGTTATTTTCATTCTGATATCTTTTAACTTTTGAGTGCTTTACTTTGCAGCCTTAATTTTCTTTTATCATAGCTTTTTGTATGTAATATTATGATAAATTATATAACACAAACCTCTTGTGTACTTTATGTCCATAAGACTTTATAATTAATTTCATGCTCCAGCCTAAAGAATTAAAGAATAATCCTTCTTTCTGGATATGTTAGACTTGCTTCACCCCTTGCTTACTTTAGTTTCACATCAGCGTCACTTCAGTGTTTCCACTGAATTTGTACTGTATATAACCAGAACAACAGAGTAGTAAATCACACCTCTTGGGTACAATTAGGGAGTAGAACATGGGTTTTAATAGCAGATGAGTTATGAAAACCATGTGTTGAAGCCTTTTTTTTCTCTACCTCTGACTTTAATTTGTTCTATGCTCACAAACTTGGCACACATATTAGTAAGAAATGAGATTTTCACCCCCACCCCAGAGTCTCAAAAGTAAAGTTGTAGGTACATTTAATAATCCAACCTGTGTCCTGTATTATGTTCTTTGTTAATGTTGCATATTAATTTCCAGGTCTACAGTCGACTGGACAGAAATTGCTGTGGGTTCAAACCTCGCAGGGAGGATTCCTGTGTGCAGAAAAGACTGAAGCTGAAATGTGATGATCAAGACTCCATTGACCTAACACACATCATTCAGAGAAAGCATGACCCAAGGCACTTAGTCTTTATAGACAATATGGCTTTCTTTGACAGAAGTGAAGAGAATCTTGACTTCAAAATATTACAAGGGATCAAAGAGTAAGTTTTAGGACAGTCCTAAAAATTTACACAGCATTTCATAGGATTATTCCTAGCTTTTCTTTCCAGAGTTGTACAAGGAACTGAGATGGGGGATTATATAAATATTCCCCAGCAAACAACATGAATAATAGAGGATGTCTAGAGGAACTACTAGGAGGTGAGCAATACAAATTGGGAAGAGGAAGCCTTTTTCCATTCTCCAAGCCACTTAACAGTCACTAGTGGGCATGTCTACACGTGTGATTTAATGTGCATTAGCCTTATTTTAATGATTATTTAAGCATCCCTAACAAACCTGTGCTATTTAGTTAATGTGCATTAAAATAGGCTAATCAATTTGGCCAAATCTGATCTGAAGATTTGGCAACTGCTGAATTGACTGAATCTCCGAATTGAACAGACCCCATCCCCCGCCTGCTTTCCCAGCCTGGTCAATAACTGCCCTGCCCAGCCTGAGCTTCCTCGCACTTAAAGAAAAACAAAACCCCACACTCACCAGCTCCTGCTAGGTAGGGAGGTGTTCTCCGCTGCCCCCCACTGCCCTGCACTGTGTGGGAGGGCTCTGCCACGAGCCCCCAGAGTCCCCAAGAGCCATTGCAGCAGCTGGTGAGTGCAGGTATTTTTTTTTTAAGTGCTAACTAAGGGACTTAATATGGATATGATTGTTAACCTCAGTATAAATACTGCAGTTCACAGGGGTGCCAAGATTGACCAGTTTCTTTATGCTTTTTTCAGGTTCCCTGAATTGGCAGTTTCAGTGCTCAAAAGCCAGCACTTACGGGAGAAGCTTCTTCAGTCTTTGTTCCTTGACAAAGTGTACTGGGAGAGCCAAGGAGGTCGCCAAGGAATTGAAAAACTTATTGATGTGGTAGAAAGGAGGGCAAAAATTCTTCTTACTTACATAAATGCACATGGAGCTAAAGCAATACCCATGAATGAATGAATTTATCTTGTTTCTAACTCTAAGTTAGAAAGTATTTTTACAGATCTATAAAGCAACAGCTGATGGCAGGACTGATTTTTTTCCCTGCCCTGTAGTTAAAAAAACCCAAAACCAATACAGGAAATTAGCAAGCTCATTAAAAAAACATTTTAAATGTCCTACCTACTTATGGAGAATATAAAACCATCAGTTTCTATACTCTCTAAAATTCAGTGGATTTATTTGTGTCCTTCACTTATGACACAACAATGTCCAAACAGTATGATAAATGCCCTTATGGTAACATTATGGGTGGAATTAACAGCAACCAAGCACCAGATTGAACTCTCGCTTAAATGCTATAAAGGACAAAGACAAATTAGGAGCACATATTTCACAGAAGAACCACTCCCTTTCTGATGTCACTATCTGTGTGCTCAAGGGAAATCTATGAAAGACCTATAAAAGTCAAGTTTTGGAACAAGAATTCATAAACTGGCTGGATTGAACACTGATACTGATTTATTTAAGGACAAATATATTTTCACTGGATCCTTTTATTTTAGAATTAAAGGCGAGGTATCCAAACAGCTCTCAGTATTGATCCAACTGGTCCCACTGAAGCCAATGGACTTTTTAACCTTGATTTAAATGGGAACTAAGCTCACTCTTAAAAATTCCACTCTGACTTTATAACAGAGCTTACCAAAGTGAACATGAATGCAGGCTGTTGCATTCATTTCTTTTGGCTTGTTTTTATTTTTAAGAAAACACAATTCCCACTGTCCCTTAAGCCTGATGTGTTTTATTGTGTGTGTTTTATCGTGAAATGTTTTGGGACCAAGTTCAGTTTTCTTGGAAATAGATGCAACTCCCACTGGAAGTTGTGCCTGCTTTCCCAGTATGAGATACAGGGACATACTCTGTAACAATTAATATATTTGACAAATTATGCGCCCTCCCCCAACTTTTGTCCACAGATTTTCCAGTTTAGTTGCAGATTATTCACAAGCCATTCATTCACGAGTCATGTGTTGTGTAACTGTAGAAATCTGAAATTCAGCTGATTCTCTGGTGCTCATGCATTACGAAGCAAGGACTAAGTATAACTCATAGAATCATGTTTTTAGTGCAGCTAATAGTGTTTATGGATTCAGAATTAAGCTTTCCATGATGTTGTGCTATATTTGTGCATATGGTTTTGTTTCTGAAACATTCCTGCCAATGCATTTATTCTGTAGACTTCTGACAGAAAGCAAACATAAAGGGACATGGGCCTTGTTCATATTAGAACAGAAAATGTTGTTTATGATAGTTGGTCAGCTGTAGTGAGCCCTGAATTTAGCTGCTTGTTTTCTGTTAAAAATGACCCCAACCCTTTAAGAGGTGGTTTGTTGTTGGCAATGGACTAAATAATAAACATCAATGGAATAGTTCCTTCGCTGTCAAAAATTGTCATCATTTGGTTGAGTTCAGTGGAGGTATGGCAGTTGCCTCCAGCTGAGGATCTTCCTGAACATGGTCCTGAACACAGGTTTGTTAGGAAATCTTGGTTATGCACTTTGTTCTGACACATTATCATCATTGTTATTGAAATAAGCCCTGTGCTATATTTTACTACACTTCCAGAGACAACTGACAATGCTGAGTACCATAAAACACAGCTGCTCCTGAGTCCTCGATAAATATTCAGGAAAGTTTTTCTTTTAGAGGGTTTAGACAATAATGGGATAAGTAACATTCCTGTAGGTACTTATAATGTAACAGTGTATAGTATTTGCTAATTTTCTATATTGCTTCTTTGAGACGGCTTGTATAATTGTATTATCTGGCCATAATGAGAAATTAAAGTACTGTTTTGTGTGCTTGTTTTTAAAAATATTTAAATAAGTTGAATGTGATAATGTATATCTTTCTTTTATTCTCAGTGTATGAACGACCATGGATCAGCATCAGGAATAACTGATTTTTTTGAGTGAGTTCTCTGTAATCAGAAAAAATGGCAGCGACATTTTAAGGATTTGATCACCTGCTTAATCTTTAATTCCCTCAACCAGGGATAATTAATATTTTCTTGAGGGATCCCAAAATGACTTCTGCATGTTAGGTGAACTATTGGGAAGATCTGTTTTAGTTACAAAATATTTGCGTGGCATTTCAGGTACTTATTCTTGGTACAGCTGAAGCAGAATTTTGGTTATTTGGATGTAGATTTTAAAAATATTAATGCTAGCCAAACTAACTAGTAGTAGAAAAACAAAGACACCACTGTCTTGTGGATCCTGCTTGGAACCAGAGGGTAGACAGTTCTCAGCTGTATGGACTTGAAGGTCACCAAGTGGCCAGACTGGTCCCCATTGTCTTTGAGCCTTGCACAGGTTACCTATATAACATTAAAAATCTGTGCAATGTTGTGATGTCATAAAGCCAGGGCATTTTTAGGGCAGGTACAGGTGAAGGCTTTATGTTGCTTTAGATCTGCATGGCTGTGATTTGTCACTAGAGAGCTGGTAAACAGGGACATGCACAGGAGTCAGGACTCTATTCCTCCCCTGTGGTGGGAGAGGAGGGTGAGGGTGGCAGGTAGCTTGGGGGTCTTCCCTCTCTCCACACCCAGCAGAAACCCAGCCAGAGTGAATGGTGGGTGGGGAGAAATCTTGAAAAACTTTTTGACATGAGGCAGGGTGTGTATGTTTGGGGGTTGGGGGAGAGGGAGTTGGAGAATAAAGAGAAAGGAGTGAATTTTTTTTTTTACAAATTAAAGGAGTAAAATCATGCATGTGACAGTGAACTGGGATTGGGTTGGAAGTGGGAGTGGGGTTAGGGACAGCTTGGGGTGTGCTGGCTGGGAGAAGGGACCTGTCCTGGCTCTTGGTGGCAAGACCCTAGGTTGGGGCAAGTATGCTTTCCCCAGCTCCAGAGTCCTGCAGCTGTGCTCATTTCCAAAATAAGCCTCCTTTTGAGTGGCTTATCTTTAAAACATTTAGAGGGTACTTATAGGGTGTGTCTACATGTGTCACTATGGCAATGTTGTTACTGTGCTGTGATTTAGTACATCCTTTTGGAAGTATTAAATCATGGCGCAGTAACAGCCTGTACTGTGCCCTATGCACAGCACACAGTTATTTTTAGCAGCTACTTCGCCATAGTGGCGCACTATACTGGGGAGTGCATCGCTATAGCAAAGTAGCTGCTGGTCATGTGCAGATGCCCAGAGATGCTGTGTCACCGTAACGTGTTGCTACAGTGACATTGCACCATGTGTAGATGTGCCCATAGCGGTTTAACACATATTAACTCATGACTGGGTTAAGGCATTTTAAGTGTTCTTATGCTGGTTTTTGCATAACCTGTACCACGGGTCTTTGTGTCCAGGCTCCCTCATATGTAAAATTCTCATGGGACCATTTTATCCCTAGTTCCTTCTTTATCTCTCCACCTTCACTTCAGCCATCCATGATATAGCCCTACATTTGTTCCAATCTTGCTTCCTCCATGCTTGGGAATAATCATTTACCCTTTTATTAAAGTCATTTTGAAATGTTATGGTCATACAAAGCAACATGGTCTTAGTGAGGGCAAGGATCCAGTCTGTTGTCTCTTCCCAGTTGACATGCAGTTATTACCTTGCAAAGCACATGTAAAAAGCTTGAGATGTGCTTCTTTTAACCTTTCCAAATACAGCTACCAGGAGCCACATTTTTTAATGGGATTTGGATTTGTAGCTGATCTAGATCACTTAACATGTACATATGGTACTGCAGGCCACCTTGACATTCCTCAAAACATTTTGCCTGTTGGATGAGAAATAAATACTCTGCCACTGAAATGCAGAGCCTGATTTTACTCCTGATTCACAGTATTGTAAATGAGAGTAGGTTCTGTGAAATCATGCTGGCATAAGAGAAAAACCATACCCATAGCTGTGCATTAACTTATGGGTCAAAACCAAGCTAAAAATAGTGGTCAAGGGTTGTTTTGTTGTAGATTCTTGTATGGTTTTTTATTTTGATGGGCACTGTTTAGGGCTTCCTTGCACATTTTGCATATAAATACATTGTTTTCAATTTGATAGATTCAGGTTCAGTGCCGTAGTATACTCTACCCAATTCATGTTTTTAATTAGAGCTGGCCAGAAAAAACATTTCTAGTTTTGGCTCTAGACAACAGAGAAGATATATCCTTTTCTATGGAGGCCCAAAGTTACCTCAGCTCTTCGAGTTTGGTCCTTTATTGTGACTGAACAAGAAAATCTTAAATGCAGGGCTGTTTTTCAAGGCAAACAGTGACGATGTACCCACATAGCAGACGTAGCCCAAGTAACTTGGGTATATACTCCCCTCCTCCAACTGAAGGGGTTGTTAGCTGGCAGGCATGCTGTGGGGGAACTGCAGACCACTCAGTTTCCCTCCTTCCCTATAGAACCAGGCCAGGACAATCAGGGGACTTAACTATATGCACATTTATTTACATTAACTTATCACAAGGGAAAGGAACGTGGATATAAACATATCTACAATGTATATATATATATTTATAAGATGTCTAAACCAGTAACATAAATACCCTCTGGGTAAATGACATAAAACCTTATACCAGTGCTCCATATACAGATAAGTCACCGTAAGTATCTGATCTGAAACAGATAAACCTCAAAGATAAAAAATCCCAAGGAGATACCCCAATGCCCTTGAACTTTTCCCAAGCCCTACAAAGAAGCTGGTAACTTTAGGGGGACCCTCCCAGTGGGACCTCCACTTTCTGGAGCCCTTAACTAACCAGGGGGGACTCCTCTTCCCTGTGGGAATCCTCTTTTCCCTGCAACTCACGGCTCCCAGGCCTGGAGGTTGGCCCTTGTCCTCTGTGCCAGGCTGCTGTCTCACCTGCAGTGGACTTTGGAGGGGTTGCTGTCCCCTGGAACAGAGCTCTGCTATGAAGGGCTTCTGGGGCCTCTGGCTCAGCCCTGTCTGCTGGCTCAGTAGCTCGATCACCATCTGGCTCACTGGACTCAACCTTTTGCTATGGTTTGGAGGCCTGGGCTGCCTTGTGCAGCACCAGGATTGGTCTGCTCCCAGACCCTCCGTGCAACACCTCCTGCACCGAGCTCCCAGCTTCATTTCGGGGGTTGGGGACCTGAGCCGCCCAAGCACTCCAAAGGTCCTACTCTGTGCACTGGCCTTTGCACTGTGTCTCTGGCTGCATGCCAGAGGTTGCAGACCCGAGCTGCCTCACGCAGCTCCCAGGGTATGGACGCCATATGCCGTGCTGCACACTGAGAGCCTAGCTGCTGGAGCTGTCCACCGTTCCCTGCTGATGGAAATCTTCAGGGGTGCTTCTGGGTTACTGCTTCGCCCTGCTGAGCAGCTCTCTTCAGCTCTTCTAAGCCCTGCTCTTTTGTCTTCTCTCTCTCCCAGACGTGCTTTCCTCATGCTGGGCACACAGCTCCATTTATATGCTCCAGGGCTCTGCCCCTGAAGTCTTCCAGACCTGAGTGTTGCAGTCCTCAATCAGGTCCATGGGGGGCGGGGGAAAAAGGGGGGCTCCTCTCCCCCTCCTCTCAGGAAAGGGGCGTGACTGAACTCCTGTGACTGCCTCCTGATTGGGGGATGAGCTCCACCAATCAAAACAGCAAGATTTCAAGCCTGGGCCTCAACCCAAGCTCCAAAAGGCAAGCCTGCTACACAGATATGTATATATGTAACACCCGGTAGAACTGAAGCTTCAGGGCAAGTTTATACCTCTTCTGGTGTGGAGTGTCCAAGGGAAGGAGGAGGTTTTACTTAAGGAGCCTCCTTATTCTTGTTCCTTTGTGAATGGATCGGGCACTCAGTGTGTGTGGTCCCTAGCCTCACAAAACCAACGTCAAGCTTGCTTTTCCAAACTGGGTGGACCCGGCCAGAGAATGGATGACTGTGTGTAGAAAGGGGGAATAAATATTAGTCTTTTCAAGGTTGATGCAACACTACCCTCAGGGATTCAAGCTCTGCGTCTACTTCGGGGACAATTTTTCTGGGGCCAGATAAACCAATGCTCCCTGAGATTGCCTCAGCAATACAATGTGTGGTAGCCCTTTTTCTGGCTTCAAGGCTGGATCTGGCATCCCATGTTAATATTCCTTGCTTACAAACAGTTCCATCACCTTCAGGAGTTAAGAATACCCATGTTCAGATAAGATGTGAGATGATATCCTGCATTGTTCCTTACACTAGTAATAAGGCTTAAAATTCTGAAAAACACCCGTCCTCTTTAGCATTTGGCTTGTAATTGTGTGGCATGGTGCCAAGTCCAGTACTGTTGATAGTACAAAGAATGATGGCTGCAGTGCATAAGGATACTGAATAGGTGAAGGCAGAATAACTTTTAGATTTTGTTTTCATTCACTAAAGTTGAAGGATTTCTCTATAATGAGGAGAATTTCGTATAATCAAGTG